ACTGGAGAAGTTTTTGGATGTGCATAGGGATTTGAGTCTTAGAAGGTCCCATTCATCTATGTTATCTTCTCCTGGTTGTAGTGCAAAAGATTTTAAAATTCTTTTAGGACAGGGAAAAATCAGAATTGGTGCTAACCATGGAAAGCCAGAACTTAGCTTCATCTGGTTCACGGCAAACTTTTCAAAACTGTTTACCTGGGGAGTTCCTATTCTAATTTTTTTTTAGCTGGATTATGGTTACCTTGGTATATTAAATTTTCTTATAATTTATTGAGCTCTACACATAATTTATGTACTTTTGTGTGTATGTGTGCTTCAGTAAAATGGGTATTTTTAAAAAAAAAACCCTAAAGAGTTACATATATCAATTTCTTAATCTCTGAGTTGTAGTGTTAGAGAATAGTAGACATCACAAGGACTGCCAAAAAACAAACAAGGCTGTCTTAGAGGAAGTGAAGTCACTGTGTTCCTCAGAGGCAATGATGGTGAAATTTCATCTCACACACTTTGGGCATTTTGTCAGGAGGGGTCACTCCTTGGAAAAAAGATATTATGCTGAAAAAAAATGGAGGATGAAAGAAAAAGAAGATTCTCTACAAGCTGGATTGACACAGTGACTATAACAACTGGCTTAAGCGTATCAGTGATCATGTGGATGGCTCAGGCTAGGTCAAGGTTCAGATCTGCTGTTCATAGGGTCGCCATGAGTCATAGTACACTCAGTATCACCTAACAACAAATCCATTTATCTATGTACATACTTATATAAATTTTAAAATGGGTTAAGAAAAAGTCTATATCTGTCAAGTATATTAACAAAGAGTATTATTCAAGGACATCACTTTGAGAAGTAAGGTGTGTCTGACTCAAGCCATGGTGTTTTAAATTACTTCACATCCATGTGAAAACTGGACAATGAGTCAGGAATTGAAGAAGATTTGAAGCCTTTGAATTGTGATATTAGTGAAGACTACTAAATATAACAGGGATTGCCAAGAGAACAACCAAACTGATCTTAAAAAGTTCAGCCAGCATGTTTTCTGAAGGTGAGGACAGGGAGAATCTGTCTCACATTCTTTGGAGCATCAGATCTTTGGTGAAATAGGACAATGAAAAAGAGGAAGACCCTCAACAAGACGGCTTGAGGTAGTGGCTGCACCAATTCAGGCCATCAAGAATTCATGAAATAAAAAAAAAGAATTCATGAAATACTGAACATGGATGAATCTAGAACAAATTCTCCTAAGCAACCTAAGTCTATTACAAAAGGACAGTTATGGTATAAAACCACATTATCAATCTTGGAGAGTTACCAGGGATGTGAAGAGGGAGAGGCAAGCAAAAATTCACAAATAGATAAGCTAGGTAATGAGGAAGCAATGAACAATAGGGGTTAGATTAGACATTAAAATATATTAATGACATTAACCAATTATAAACAATGTTACAAAACAAAAGCTCTAATTAGTAATGGGTTGAAAAACCAAAATGAATTGCAAACGTTCATTAAAAGAACTTTTTAAAAAGTGAAGTCTCAGTCCTCATTCCAAACTCATGTGTTTGTGATCATCAGGGAGGTGGCCCAGAGCTTTTGATGGATTCTCTGACTCCTCCAAAACCTCAACCAAAGATTTGCTAGTACTTGAAATCTCACCATTAAAGATTTGGGGTTTGGGCTGAGCCCAATAGAATGCAAATGTCTGTGTTGCAGAGGGTGAAACCAAGTTTCTCCTTGGAGGCTAGGATTTTGAAGCTCCATCTCATATTCTTTTAGCACATGACCAGAAGGGACTGGTCCTTGGAGAAGGACATCATGCTTGGAAGGGTTGAGAGAGAAGGCAGAAGAAGAAGACCCAGGCAGGATAAGATAGATTGATACAGTAACTAAGGCAATGAGGGTTGGTGTGTCAGAATCAGTGAGACTGGCTCAGGACAGGGCAGGCTTCAGAGCTGTTGTACATAAGGTCGCTATGAGTCACAGGTGACTTGATGACACATAACAACAACAACAACAACAACTAAGATTTAGTGAATATTTTCTATGTTCCTAAACATGAACCAAATAGGTACAAAGCTTTGTTTGCCACAGATAAACCAAGTATACATTAATCTTGATATTTTGTTATGTTCCTCAAATGGTGGTATAGGTCAGTGTCCCTGAAAAATTCCAGCTTTTACAGCTATGTGCTTTTCTTAGTCCTGATTGCAGAGGTGTTTGTTTTAAGGCCCTGGAAGAAAAATATCCCATGCAGAGAGTCTAACTGGGCAATATTTCAGATCTCAGATGCCTGCACAGTGTTAACAACTTCCAATATTCCCATCAGAAAACGAAGGACGCGTTAAAATCCTCATCCTCTGCACCCTTCACTTGTCTGAGATACTAAAAGGGACATGGAGTCCACTTCTTACCTTCTGGCTGTTCTCTCATGGGAGGCATATCTCCAACTTCCCATCATCCACTTTTTCTCAAGTGCCAACTGGCCCACTACATGCAGTAGTTCCAAGAGCAAAAGAGAAGAAACAATACAACAATCTGGCTTCACTTCCCAGTGCCCTGGTTTTCAGATAATGTGCATAGTGTTTAAGCAGCAGTTAGTTTTGGCGTGAAACATTTTCCAGGTAAAATATATCAGTTTGATTGATGTCTGTTCTGTATCTTTCTGTCCTCAGCAACTGGCCTGTCTCCACCGCTCCAGACGTCCTTGTGAGGAGAAAGCTGATAAAACTCACAAGGGTGATGTCAGTTTTCCTGGGCTATTGCCCATGTGGGAGGGAAGGTCAAGCTCTCAGGTGAGCTGGGTTATTGTTAAGCACCCTCAGGTCAGTTCTGACTCATGGTGACCCATCTTTTTTTTTTTTCAAAAATAAATTTTATTTTATATTGGCTTGC